ATTTAAAAATTAATCAGCTTGTATGACGATCGCAAATAGCGTGAAACCCAGGGTCACAAACTCACATCAATCCAACTATATATATATATATATATATATATATATATATATATATATATATATATATATATATATATTATTTACATTATTCGGACTATTGTCCTCATCTTTGTCACCATAATTATTACAACGTTCCGGCCTTCTTCAGGTGGTTGGAATTTCGAACTGAACCCTTTATTTCGCTCACTTGGGTAGACTGTTCTAGTTCCACGTGCCATATTTGATGGATGTCAGTTATCAGTTATCTCCTGCTAATTTCCCTCTGAAATTTCTCCACTGCCTTAACCGGGTATTGGGTCCTGTCACTGGATCTAACCAACGCCTTTATCCACTGTGCCATGTGTCCTTGAGACAATCTGGGCACGAATTTCTGGATATTATAAACCTAATTTCTTCAGCAACCATTTTACCAGTGCTCGTATTGCAGTTTTGCTGTTATCATACCATGTTTTTACCAGAGCTCATATTGCAACTTTGTTGTTATCATTGCTTTTCTCTGGCACTCCTTATTACTGGTTCCCATATTGTATTTATTTCTATGCTTGGTCGGCTCAGGAGATTTTTGTGGCTTAGCATATATGCTGATTCCTTAAGTTTACGAATTTTCCAATGGTGTTCCTTGTCTATGATCTCAACATGATCCCACAGAGGGTGGTGATCTCCCTCCATATGTGGTCAGACTGTTTTCTGAGTGTTGTTGTACAACAACACTCAGAAAAGACTGTTGAATTTGCCAAAGACTTAAGTTGCTAAATCTGAAAGAAAAACAAAAAAAAAAATCATTAGACGCTTAAACTTAATTCCCATTTAAAATCGATCCAAGTTATTGAAACATCATATATATATATATATATATATATATATATATATATATATATATATATATATGATGTTTATATAATATATATGTTTCAATATATATAGTCATCCATAGGCAGTTCATGTGTGGCTAGACATCCGATCATTTCAAACCGGTATCGAAACTCGTCCGATTTGACGTCAGTCAGATATTCTACCACCAAACTATCGTCTCACAGCAGAGCGGAAGGAAAACTTTAAAGATTTTACTATGCGAAAAACGTCAGCAGCTAGGAGAGCTCGATTCGAGTAGAAGAGCATTGAATTAGCAGCAGCCACTGTTTATAAAATCACCCCTTCCTCGTTGAGAGCTCCATCGAATTATTTCCAGAGCGTAAATAGTCATCCACAGACAGACTGTTTCACTGTCTCACAGCTCATCTGTGTAGGTAGACATCCTATATCACCACTTAAAACATTTGACCATTTTTGGTAGAAATTCTATTATAAAAATGTTGGATTCCTAGTAACAAAAGTAATGGAAAAAAGAATAAGAATCTAAATGGAATCGGGTAGATAAGAAAAACATTAAATTTGAAATTCCCATGTGTTTTCAAACCAACATAACAAATTTAGTCCGATGAAGTCCTGAAGGACGAAACGCGTACACAAGAAAACTTTTTCCATTTGGTCAAATATTTTTCTTTAATGTTATTCTTGATATATAAAAGTATATATCGTTATCTCATATATATATATATATATATATATATATATATATATATATATATATATATATATATATGTATGTATGTATGTATATGTATGCATTGTAATAAAAAGAAAGAACGGTAAGATATATAATCCGATGTTCTTAATTGATATTTTTATTTTTATTTTTACAAAACACTGCTCAATGTAAATTTAAAGAGCATAAATATTATAAATTAACTGATTTAAAATATGGTTTCTTCGCTACACAGTAATAACCATGTTTCAAAAACCGAAGCTAAAAACTTCAAATTTAATTATATAATTAAATTAAAAGCATTAATTCTGTTTCATCTTCAAGAGAATTTTGGAATAACTTATTTTTTGAATTTACTGAGTTTTAAATGAACATACAATTCATATTTTTTTGTTTCCAATGATACAGAGAAATCCAATCATTTAGACAGGAGCGGTAGCGTGTTTATTTTTATTAACTATTATTGTATCAATTATGAGTTACGTTCGAAAAAGAGGTTAAGTCTAGGGAGGATAGAGGTGCATTTTTCAACGAATTATTATATCCGTTCAACGCATGTCGGCTGTTCTATTATTTATCAACGATAAAAAGTTTTTCGGTATTTTATTTTAATTTAATTATATATTAAATATGAAGTTTTTAGCTTCGGTTTTTGAAACATGGTAATTCCTGTGTAGCGAAAAAAACAATATTTTAAATCAGTTAATTTATATATATATATATATGTATATATATATATATATATATATATATATATATATATATATATATATATATATATATATATATATATATATATGTGTGTGTGTGTGTGTGTGAATTGAGATCAAATACAAATCAAATATGGATCGGAATCCGGCAGAATGAGAGGATAAAGAAAAAATAGGAAACCTTTCTCTCGAAGCTAGCTATATTAAAAATTGAAACCAAACCTTAACAAATTTAATTATTACTTCTGCCCAAATGTTTTAAAATTTGTACCATAGATAGTTTAAAATATCAAGGTTGGCACTTATAGTTTAATACTTATTTGTTAAAAACTCTCGACACAACATACTTAGTTACTTCCCCTGAATCGGTGTCAAGTGATCACGTACTCAATCAGCGTTCGTCACTCTACAAGGAAAAATTTAGGTTTCAGATGAACACAGCAATTTTATCTTTGAAAATGATGAACAGTACAATACTTGTCTTGAAATAGACAGCACACTGATGATGACATTATGCTTTGTCGAAAATACTCGGAATAAAATAATATGTATTTTCTCTCTTCCTTTAATAATGGCGTCAAAAAGGTTTTCCGTGAATATGAAAAGATCCAATTGTAAATAAGTAGACAAAACTTGTCAAAATTATTCAATGAAATATGTCTCAATGAAAACATGCTGCCAAAGTATACGCAATATATATATATATATATATATATATATATATTACATTCTGTTACATTAGAAGGTGTAAGTATCCATTACAAATTTAAAATAAAACGTCTCTTCTGGTGGTTAACAATGATGGTAATAAACAATTTTATTTAAAATTGCAATTAATGAAACATCACTTCATTTCCATTTTTAGAAAATTCTCCATAAAAGGTAAAAAGGATT